ATAGATGTAAATTCTGATAAAAATTTAAAAAATGTAAACTTACTTGAGTTTTACGTATACGCTCATTATCATGTAATTATATTTAAATATTTTAAAATATAGGGTTACTGATTCCGAATGCGCGATTATTTTTGTCACTAAGGGCACGTGAATTATGTTGTAGAATGTTTTAATACATAATTATATATATTTTCCTATGATTTAAAAAAAATGTTTGACTGACGCGGTGCCTATTTTAAAACGCGCCGTAGCTTACCGTAGCATGTATAATTATGTTGGATTGACATTTTGAAAGGATGTCCATTAATTTCTCTTGTATATGCATGCATATTAGTATATTTTGCAAACCCATCAGTTGGTATTTATAAAAATGCCGGTCAAATATGAACATCGCAATATGTTCGTCTTTCATACCGTTATGTCCTCCAGACAAAATGTTGTTGGTGACCGTTCGGGAGGTAGGTTATTATTATTATAAATAATTTTTTTTTAAATATGGTATTAGAAACAAACGTGATAAGTTAAGTTGCATTAATAATATACAAGATTAGTATTTGCGTTTTGCATTTTATGAGAAGATAAAATATTAAATAGTTTAGAGTATATTATTATAGATAAAATTAATTAATTCAAATTTCTAGCATTGAAACACGATCGTTTAGATCTGTTTGTCCAAATTATATATGGGAACTATTGTAGTGACTTACATAGCATTAAAATATAGATATTCATCATCTTCTTTACCTCCAATGCGAACATTCTTATCTGAGGAAGTAATCGCCTTGGAACAAAATCTGTTTATAACATTCAACTGGCAGCTTATTTCAATCGTCGTATTGAAGTATTTGCTTTTTAAGCATTCTTTGTATATAATTATTTACAACTCTTGTTTTAAATGATTTTACAGTGGGAATTGATGTTTTTACTCGACAGCATGTCCATATTTAAACAATTTTGTTTATGTTATGACTATTTTAATAAATAAGATAAGACAACTATAATTAAGTACATCGAATGCACAACGACGAAACTTTATAAACTTGCTAGGGTGGAATGCCAATAATTGGCAATTTGTACAGATAACAATAACCTGATTTTGTTGTTACAGTGAATATCGTTCATCACGCGATTATGTACAAGTTAAACACTGAACAATCGAAACAACCGTAATGGAATCAACTTCAGAAAACATTAAAATAAAAGGTTGAAAACTATTCTAATGAGCACATTACAGGTAACTTAAAAACTTTGGCATACAACATTGATTTTTATTTTTTATTTATTATTGATGTTTATTTTTTAAACCATAAAAATATATTTTTAATTTGTCAAAATATTAATTTGTCTAAATGTCCATCCGTCAAAGTATCCCTTAATATAATGTCCAAAAACTATAGTCATACAGGATTAAATCACCGTGTGCAGTTGAATTATTATATTTACGCTTTCTCAGTTAAATATCAAATAAATAAATATAAATATATATAAAAAAAAATATTAAAAATTCGTGAATAATTTGGGTTAAAAACCTGACCTAGCAGTAAAACATAACTTTTCCTCGTACAGAGATTAGTGATAATATATATACAAAATTAATAATTGTGTATAATTGTGTTTGTTTTAGTTACGGTTTTAAGATAACTATTTATAAACTAGATCTCGTTCTACATTTTTAATAATAATATAAAAATATTGCCCTCGTTTATCCATATAGTTGGTGAAGGTACGTTCAATTCATACTGTAAAATTGTAAAATGCGTAATTCTAAAGTTACGCAAGGTGAGGTTCCAATCCCATAAATTGTTATTTTCTAATAATCTACAATGGATAGCTTATTCGTCTCTCGTTAAATCGAGTCGTAGCATTACGTCAGATCTATATATAGTATTGTAGGTGTATAACAACAATAGGTGTGCAATTCGTGTATATTTGTCGAGTAAAATGTTTTGTTGTTGTACGACGTAGGTAGAGGTTATAATAATGTGCACACCACTACAATATATGATGTATAAAACCTGAGAACGACGATAATTGTAGACGTGACGAGGGCATTTCCTTAACGTTGGCGACACACAATAGCAATAATAACACACCCTTATTTCTCCGCAGAGAGCTGCTCGCGAGCAACGCACTTATCGCTGTTTTCGCTCATAACAATGTCTCCGAGTATTATTATCTACCTACCGTCAATCACATAGCGTGTACGCACATTTACGCCGATATTTGCGAGTAAACCCATCCGTTCTTGACCACGATACTTCATATAAAAGCGTATATACGTATAATGAAAATATCAATCAAATGTAAATTAAAAATAACGATCATCAAATAAAATCGTTGTGTACATTTCGAAAAATTACATTGCATTAAAAACAGCTCTTCGTAGTTTAAAAATAATAATGTATTTCATAAAATCTTTCTTCGGTTGTGTTAAGTATATCTATAATATACGAGTAGTTGAACTTCAGGTTGTTCGAAACCAATGTCTTTTCAATATTCTTTGATATCCGTCGTAAGGACGTAGCCCACATAGTGTCTGAATTATATACATAAATGTATGTATTCTATATAGAATGTAGACTATAATCTGTTGTGCTGAGTATTTCAAGTTATTTGTACAGAAATTGACATTGTAATATATCTATATTTGTACAGAAAAAATGGTACTTACCATATCACCTGTAATTTTATCTTCCTTATTTTACTATTTCAATTTGAGTTGGATCAAATCAGTTATTTTATTATTGAATTTTTATATCGCGCTACCCTATGCTTATGGGAATCGAAGATTTTAATGGTTTATTTGAACTCGATCGGCATGAAAATTGTGCGTATGTATCTGCAGTGTATTTCAATTGAAATGATTTATCATCTATTTTAGAATAAACATAGAGGTACATAATAGTTACATAGATGTGTATAGAATATAATATATTCAATGATTTTAAAGTAGTTTGTAAATATTACATGTGTAATGTTATTAATGTTGGATATGTGCCCAAGTATATGTATTCAACGTATCTATAAAAATAATCACGGTGAATTCACTGCTATAAAATTTTCAATTCACTTCGTTCAAGCCTATATGCGTAACGGGCTGGGTTGTAATATGTATGTAATTTCGTTACTCCATATTTTTATTCAATTTTATCAATGAGTAAAATACATAATTAGTGACTATCAATTAAAACGTTATATTTTTTACGGATAATAATTATAATATAATACATATATTACAGATATACGATTACATAGAAAGGTGGTTACAATCATTTAAAAATGATGTTTAAAATATAAAAAAAATATCAACCTCCTTGCTAGAATAAAATCATTTTATTGGCTCTGAATGTATGATATATACCTAGTAAAGGTATATTAAACTATAGTATAATATATTTAAGTATTATATTTTTGCGTTACAACTCTGAATCTGCTATTTTTAAATTCTTATAATTATTTTCGTCCAATCATTTTTGATTAAGAAAGAGAATAATTACATACTTTTTGAACATCGAACATTATATTTTTCATTCTTAAAAATACAACATTAATTTTTGATTATACATATATCTACGTTTTTGTAGGGCTGTATAACCTATGTAGATTGTAACACAGAAGTAACAACAAAACAGTTGCATCATGGCGTTCATAGAATAATTAAGGGTTAACACGATATCAAAAAAATATTATAACTATGTTTTTATTACGCATTAACAACATTAATTAAATTATCTTTATTTTATTTTTAACAGAAAACTAACGGCCGTATATAAATTGAAAGTGCTCCAAAAAACCGCATTATAATAATATAACGTAACGATGTAAAAATGACGGTTCATTATTCATTACTATTGTGGAAACTAAACGAAACACGTGGCACGGAATAATAGTACGAAATATCTAAAATAACTTCCTGTATATTTCATCGTGTGCGCGCGCGTGTACCCGCAACGAGTGCAAAAAATACTATTTGAATATGCGGCACTCGCGGAAGCGTAATACTGTTACGGCCGAACGTGGGTCGATAAATATTAATTAGTGTTGACCAAGAGTGTTAAGTTAATTGAACGCGTCCGCCTACTTATTAAGTTTTTCCCTGCGGGTCGTAAGGACGCGCGCAATGTCCAGAAGGAAAACGAAGCGAGATAAATCGATTCCGATCAATTTACATTTAAAACGCGTAAACTCGTGTACGTATTTGATCGGACTGCGTCCTGTTGACTGCGTGCAGTCAGTGCGACGGTAAAAACAACAAGAAATAATATTTCTCCCACGAACAGTTGGTGTGTTTGCGTAGCCGGAAACGATACATTATAATTGGTCGGACGTTTATGATGTTTGCCCTAACTAAGGGCGGCAACGGCGGCGGTAGCGCAGCCGTTCCGTCGGAACAACAGTAATCATACGTTTTACCAAATCGGTCGATTTGTAAACAGTGCTGGAGAGTAGAAGCGAGATAAACGGGTACCGAAGCGTACTCCCGTAGATGAGCGAATTCTGTAATAAATTTTTATTTTCGTAAAAAATCTTTAGCGTCTTCTGCCGGTATACGCCGCGAAATCTGAAAATTCGGTCTCTGAGAGGGGATCTGATGCGCAGCAGAAGGCTTTTGCACAGTACGTAAAACGTACGTTGCGTTATTGTTACCCACCTGTTAGCGGCGGCGGCCTCTGGGTGTACGCACGCAGCGCGCACCCGAGGGCGTATTATTATTATTATTATTATTATTAGGACGACGAGGTGATGTAAAAGACGAACCGAAGTGCGTGCGGGCGCGTGCCCCTTCTCGTCCCCTCTCATCGCCATCTCTTATCGCTACCGGCGGACGGCCATGGTCCCCTCCGCCGCGTCGCAACGAGTCGACGTGCCGAACGCTCCGCCGCCCGCCCAACCGTCCGGTAACGCGGGCACAAAGACTGCTGCGGTTGCCGGGCGGGCGGCACGATGTTCGCGCGGGGAACTCGAGTGCGGGCGCGTGCGCGTGCGTGCCGTCCCCGACCGACTGCTAGCGAGACCACCAAATTCCAATCTCGTCCGCACCGCATCACACGTATCTCGCCGGCCGGTCGACCACGACCACGACCGCAGTACAACGTCGTGCGCCGTTTCTTAGTTTGTGTGGTTTTTTTTTTTTTTTTTGTGTTCGCGTGTGCGCGCATATAAACGAGTGTGTGCGAGCCCGCGTTTTTGGTGATATTTTTTTCGTTTTCCCGTCATTCAACGGAAACGCGTGTCGGTCGTTTCCGCGTTTTCTCGTCTAAACGAGATCGTGTTCGCGCCATTGTTTCCGAACCGACTCTCCGGCTTGGCGAAGTGGCAGCTGATGATAACCAGTTGTGACAAGATTTCCATCGGGTAAGAAAGCCGCATTAAATGCACGCTCGGTACGCTCTCGAAAAACGTTCTTCCGTGTTTTTCTCGGAATCGCATTCGTGCCTGTCCAGGTACCCTGACCCGGTATCATTATAATCCGGACGATCACGTATTGTATACGTCTCTCGTGTCTTGATATCGTGTTAAAGTATCCGGTTCGGTACCCACCCCGGAGGTACCGTTCGCCTAGAGTATCAGCGCGTTCGATCCTCTGACAACAAAAAAAAAAAAAGGCTCGAAGGTTGCCGTTTTTCGTTTCCCGACGCTCCGCAACAGCAGCAGAAAATATTCGATTAAAACGATGATAATAATAATTTCCAAGTGTTGTACGTCGTCCCTCTTCCCCGTCAGCGCCTTCTTCGTGCGCGCGCGAGGTGCCGAAAAACAACGGACTCGTTAATCGGTTGCGCGCAGCCGACCTCATCAATCATTTTCCGTACCGAGAAAAAATCCGTCTACACGCGACCTACGGGCATATCGCACAATATAATTTTAGCGCGTTACGCGGAATACGCGGCCCCGATAATACCATGCACTCGTGCACTATCGCGGTTCGACCATTAAACCGGGTTCAAACATCGCGAATCGCGTCCGGTGGCGTACATCGATTTAAACCAACATTTCTCCGCACATCAAGGGGACCGTTCGTCGTCTTACCCGTTTTTCCGAACACTCCGTCGAACCGCCCGTCATCAGTATTATGCGGACAATGTCGTGTCCCCGTGCATAATAATGGTCCCAAGTCTCCAGTCACTGTTATTGTACGGCCCCGTGTTAGTAAATAATAACAGTAATATATATATATATATATAACGATGTTGCATAGTATTACTATTATAATAACGTTTTGAATTTATGAATTATTCATTCGCCCGCGTCGCGTACGTGCATTACACAAATTCGTCGACATTTAAAACAGCCGCCGTCGTTGTTAACACCGTTCAAGTAGTTATCTCACGAAAGTTGAAAAGTCGAACCTTCCCCCTCTCCTCGACAAACACACCAGGACATGTTGCATTAGTAACTAATTAAAATTATTGTATATAATTATATAGTTTTCGTCTGAATCTTGCACGAATTTATTCTTGGATTTATTATAAATACGTGCTGCGAATTGCTTAAAATTAGTGAGATTGGTACATTCATAAAATTTAAATCTGTACACTATTCAATGAACATCAGTCACATAAGTTTTAGTTTTTTTTATTAGGAAGCGCAAGATGTTCTCTAAAAAACCGGGTAATTAATTTTAATTTACAGTCTAGATCCAATTGCCTAGCAATATATCATTGAATCCTAATTAACTCCTATGTTAAAATATCTCCTTACAAATATGTTAATGTACTATCAGGAAATAGTTTGCTTAAGTATATTACTGTTAAAATGAAATTATTTGTCAATACTTATTACTCTGTAGTAAATATAAAATATATATTTAACTAAATCGTTAGCACTTCGATCACTGCAAATGATAAAAATAAGTTTTTGTGTTGAATGGACGTTAGTAATTCGTATGTAATGTGTTATAAATAAATGAACTAATTATTCTTTAATACTAAATTAATACTAGACGAAGGTATATTATATAATATTGATTTTAGAATTTTTTAAACTTTAACCTCATCTGAAAACGTGCATATTAAAAACAATTACGGACTGTTACTTATCATTGTTTTTATATGCTCTTGAAGAACCGCCCAACGTACGTTTTTTTGTGTGTATGAGCACTGATCGAATTTTCCCCGAGTTCTGCTTGACAATACATTATTTTCAGAATTATTCTCATTTACCTAAATCTATAAAAATAATAATTGTTATCGTTAACTCGTAAGCACGATGGATTTAACTCTGGATGTACTGACTACCTGGTAAGAGTATTCATTTTTAATCAAGCTTGTTTTTTTTTTTTGTGTGGCTAGGCGAGGGGGTATTCCGGAAATATTGCGATAACAAATTTCATAGAAAAAAGCTATTCATTGGCGGTGGTCCATATTATATTTTAATCAACATATGACGTGCTTCTCTTTGATCCTCGCTTTGATCAGTTCCTATTACAAAATACTAATTTATACCGAAATTAATATGTATATTATATTATGTTTAGGAGCTTACATTATACGATAACCATTCCTGTATACTATAATCAATATATTATATATCAATATTATTCTTGTCGTATAATCGTATACACCTTACGTATACTGGCAACTAATTGATTAATTAAACAAATATATGTGTCAAAACATTCAAGTATTTATTTTTCTGTGTCACAGACGTATTGTTTTTAATTGTAGAGATTTTTTAGATAAATTAATTAGGCATGATCGGATTGGGATTGTCAACAGATATTGTACCTATTTTGCGACATCCTTTCCAATAGAATAAGGATTTGATTATTAATTATTTTGTTCGCCCCTCTGAAAAATGATGAAGAATTAAGTTTTTCATTTTTTTTTTTTTTTTTTTTTTTGTCTACTCGGCAACCGTCGTCCCACTTATTTTACCCTCTGTTGCTGTGGAATCGAATTTTTACATTATATAGATCGTATGTGTGTGTATGTTTTTACAAAAGACTCGCACACATGTACATTATTTGTGCGTGTTAAATATTTTCTGGGACTGTACAAAAGTCTTTGTGTCTACGTCGTGTGCCATTGTATTGTACGATGAATACGTTTCGTGGAGGAGATTTAACCGGAATGAACACGAGGACAAAAAAGAATCGCAGTTGGCGTCGACCCTTCTACACAGGTTCACCCTGTATGTGCGTCAGTCGTGTATTAAACGGGGACACCTTTCCAGATGTTTTGGCATGGAGTTTTCGGCATGGATATAAATTCCTTTCTACAACGATGGTAACTACCATCACGTGATCGTTTAAGTCTTGTGATTCTAAGAACTGCGTTTCATTTCGTTCGTACATTATTATTATTACGTATTGTATAATATCGTCGCGTACACACAATGTTCGAAACATTCATTAACCGTGTCGAATTCATATGTATAGGTTGTATTTTATTATGTGCAGTATATATAGTTGTTGCTGCTGCTGTAGTTGCCGATGTGATCGAACCGAATCGTGTTAAAAAAAGGATTGACTCCAACACGACACGCAACCGTGTCGGTGTCTGAGCGGTGGCGGCAGTTTCCCTTTGAAATCGATCGAATTGTTTGATGTGTGTCCTTACGACGTACATGTACAATATAATACATAATAAATAAATATGTATATATACATGTATAATATATGTTAGATTCTTCTCGTATCTCGTACGAGAAATTTTGAAATTGATAATGCACTTGAATACCGACAACTAACTATAAATTTTAATCAAACGATATCGTTAGTTTATAAAATTTTAATAAAAAAAAAGTAACGTTTTGTTAGAAAATTCGTCCAACGAGAAAATTGTAACTCCAGTTTTTATAATAATGTGTTATAATAATTTTTTTATACCATAGTGCGAAAAAATTCACTTCTATTATTCTTTCTACACTTGTGTATTTTTTAATTATTACGTATAATTAATGGGATACAAAACTGTGAATTCAGAAGGAGCGTAAAAAAAATATTAAATTGCTGAATGACTCCTTTGTACGAAAGTAAAAATCGTGTCTGTATTGCTAGTCCAACGGTCATTGCTCATAATAAATCTTTAATATGTATAGAAAGAAAAAGGAATTTCATTAGTAAAATATAAAAATTCGGAGTGATTTTTTTTATTAATTTAATTTTGAGTAAAAACAAATAGCTAAAATAATTTTTGAAAATTAAATATATAATCTTGTTGTGTTATTAATTATCATATTATTTTGATTTAGATAAAATACATACAAAAGAATCTTTATGATTGAAAGTAATGAATGGAAAAGTGGACTTTCAACACTTTCAGTCGGAAAATAAAAAAGGAATGGGTTTGCAAAAATTTATTTGGTCTGATCTTATTATGTTTTTTTTTAGTCTTACAAGCCTTTAAAACTTTTTACCTACTTCTACCAAGTCTTTCCAATTGTTTTGATTTCTTGCTGTTTCTATTGTTAACCAATTGTTAACTTATTTTGCATCCTTAATAGTGATCAATACTATCCAGCTACCGTTTATGGGGTCTTTATCTTAAACGTTTTTTTTCCAGGGTTCTTGATCAATATATTGAGAATAAGGCTTTCCATCACACATGTCAGTTCATTTGCCATGAGATACTTTCCGATGTATTGTATAGGTTTTCTATGTCTATGATTTTCCTTCTTTCATACTCTTCGTACTCTGATTTTATATAACTAACATAAAATTTGACTCATCGATAAAGTTCTGGAGATCTCAATATGACGATATATTTGGTCTAATAATAATCAATGCAATTTTAACATTTGTATTCTTTTGTCATGATATAACATCATATTTTTGATTTTTAACTTATTAAATTCATATATTTTATCGTAGTTTGAGTAATTTATAGTAAATCGACTGATTTATAATAGTTTATGAACTTGTATGTATTGCGTCATGTAATTCTTTTTTAAATTATGATAGACATTATAAAATTAGTATAACATTAAATGGATCATAAAGATTCTAATACACGATGATGCTGAGTTTAACTGTTTATAAAAATAATGGTTTATGAGGTAATAAAGATGGTTTTACAGCTTTACTTGATTAGTACATTTTAGTTGGCCATTTTTAAATTTTAAATTTAATTTAGTGTTTTTCATTATATGTAATTTTTGTATTAGGTACAGTTGGTATATAGCATACTTTTTAATAATTAAATTTTTTTAAGTAAAGTCTCAATATAATGAGCATAGATATTAGTGTAGGTACATGAATATTTATGAAACATTTCTTTTCTCATTTGCTTTACTAACTTTGGTTACAATGGATTGGTATTGTAACATTCAAAATATATATTAACTTGTTTTAATAAAAGTATTTAATTTTCTTATATGGAAATCTAACGGGCTGATATTATTTTACATAGAAA